TATTTTTTTTAAGGAAGAAAACCAAAGCATTAATTTCATTAAAAAATTGCACTCCTTTGTCAGTGAGCAACAAACCTGTGAAATAAAAATGTATTACTGAGATGCTATGCTGGCTAAAAGATAGGTACTTATTTAATTGTGGTTGCCATACCCTAATTTCATAGTATTTGTACAAGAATGTATAATATAAAATGGAAACTGTGCAGGAAAAGTAGCACAAATCTAGATGTACTCTAAATTGTACAAACTTTAAGAAATTTTGAAATTGTGTAAAATTTGAAGTTATCTCACCATATTTATGTCAGATATTAAGTATAGTTGATTTTGTATCGTGGTTGAATCAAAATCATTAGAGTGACACACATTCTTTTGTTTTATTTCAAAGGAAAATGAAACATAATCTTCAGAATTGGTTTTTATTGTGAACACAATAAAACACTGTATTACATAATAAGCACAATAAGCTGTAAGCTAATATTCGTCTGTAATTTTCACTTAGCACATTTGAGTTAAAACTAAATAATCTAGCAAACTTATTTTAAGTGAAGATGAGAAAAGGCTTTGTTTCCTCCCTGTTCACCTTCCAACAGACACAAATAAAAAGATCCATCTAATTCTATGATGCTACAGAAGAACGATAGTGTGAAATGTAAATAAGTGAGATAATCAGGCTTTGGTTGTTTTCATATTTCCCTCTTCTCTATGTTAAAAGTCTGCATTCAGTTGACTAAGTCTTAGCCTGTTCAGGCTGCTATAACAAAATACCTTATACGGGCTAATTGATAAACAATAGAAATTTTTGCTCACAGTTCTGCAGGCTGGTAAGTCCAAGATCAAGGCGACAGCGTATTCAATGTTTGGTGAGGGCTTTCTCTCTGCCTCAGAGATGGTGCCTTCTTGCTGCATCCTCACATGGCACTGCAAAGAAGGGGCAAGAAAGCTTTTTGGAGGCTCTTTTATAAAGGCACTAATCCTTTTCATCAGGGTGGAATCGTCATGACTTAATCACTTCCCCAATGGCCTGCTTATTAATATTATTACACTGGGCATTGGGTATTAGGTTTCAACATATGAATTTGGGGGACACAGCAACATTTAGACCACAGCAATTATTAATGTAAAAAAATCAAGCAAAGCACATAGTGTTGCCATATGCAGCAGATACAGCAAGACTAAGACTATCTTTCAGTGTACTTTAGATTGTCATTTGTGTTGCTTTGATTTTGCAAGGATTTTATATTCACTCCACTAGAGAATAGAGATGTACAATTCTTTTTGGCTCCTTGTCTAGATATAGCCTCTTAAACTATAGACAATATGTATTTAGATGGTTTTGAAAAGCTACGTTTGAGTATTTTCTAAAGAATCTGGTATTGGTCCCTAAAAGGGGATACAATATGTAATATTAGTGACACATCATCCATTTGAATGGAAAATAATAAAAGGGAAGAGTTTACTCTTCTTTTAACATTTTTGTAATTTATGCTTTATTAAAATCTAACTCTGATGTTTATAGATGTTATGGAAATCAATTAAAAAAACAGGTTTGAAAAAATGCTTATATTGTAATCTAACTTAGATGTACTCAAAACTATAAATTGACACTTTAATTTGATCATCTTTTTGAATGTAATGTGTATTACCTATTACACAGAGCTACATGGAAAGTAAAGAGAATGTATTGAGAAATTGAAATTACATTTCAGTAGTCAATTATTTTCAACTGCTTGTTACCTCTGAAGAGTTTTTGTGAAGGAGCATACCTAGGGTTGGCTTTGTTAAAATTCTTTAATTCCTTCCTTTTTTAAAAATATGCATTCTGATGTTTTTTATTCATGTAAATGTTTAACTTTCCAACCCTGTATATATTAAGGGGGCATTGGCATCCTACATAGGACTATATTTAAAAAATGAGTAATTTCATTTTTATAGTACTGAATATGCTTTCTTTATACTGTGATGAATCTTGCTTTCTGCTTTTTATTTGCATAAGTAAAATCTTCATTTTTGCATCATCATGTATCTTTTCTGCATATAATTAACATTAACATTTTTTTTTACTGTGCAGGGCTGGCTATTTGCCTCAGAATATTCCCCTGGAGATTATGAGATACCTGTCTGAGGAGAAGGATTTTCTTCCTTGGCACGCTGCCAGCCGAGCTCTTTATCCTCTAGACAAATTACTGGACCGCATGGAGAACTACAATGTCTTCAATGTAAAAAGATAAAATTTCTTCTTTCTAATTTTTAGAAAATAAACTATTTTCTCATTTTCTACAATATGAAACTTACCCTAAGTTACTTTAGTTCCTCCTTCCAGTTTGTTTTATCATTTTTGTCCTGATTTTCCATGTAACACTGATAACAATTATTTGAAAAAGAAATTTAATTCAAGCTACCTTTTGTTCTGGCCTAAAAGTGTCAATTAAGCTTAAATGCTTCAGAATTTAAGAACACATATGCATGGTAAATCCTTAAAATTCAAACTTAGTTTCCAAGAGTTAAAGGGCTCTGTGTTCACAAAGGACTTAACCTGGGTAGAGGGATCCCAAAGATCTTGACAGAATATAGGCAGTTTCAGTAAAGATTCTTAGTCATTATTTTTATCCAAAAGGGCATAGTGAATTCAATTCACTTCCTTAATTAACAAGGATAAGATCAACATTGAGGCAAAAGCCCATTCATAATTGGGTCCAAGGGGATACAGGAGAGCAAACAACAGATAATCCAAATAGACATGAAGACATGACAAACATTCCAAAATGTTACCTGACCAGATTTTCTAAACTCAAAGCCTGGTAAGCGGAAATTGCACCGCTGACATTGCCTAAGCTGATTTAATCATCATTTTGAATAATATTAGGATTAAGTACTGCTAATGAGCTTTTGATTCTTAAATTTTTTTAATCACTGTGCTTTCTATCACCTTTGTGTACTGTTTGTTTTCCTTTAGTTCTTTTAAAAACCTGCCCTGTGTTTTATAAAAATTACTCTATTTTTTATGGCATACTGAGTCTGCTAATTAACTTACACATTTGAAATTACTCAAAACTGGAATGCATGACATGAAATCTTTTATTAGAGCCATCTCAGTTGTGTGATGGCCATCAGAATCGCTTCCTTTTTCATCCTAAATCTACAGAAAAGTAACTTTTTTAACAATTTTTTTAAAAATAGGAAAAATTGTGTCACAACTGTTTATTATTTTTAGTTTTTCCTAAGCCTTTACAACAGACAGGCAAACAATGGTTCATTACAGTTATGTTATAATTTTTATCTGTTAGAGAAAGTCTTATTACCCTTTCTCCATAACACAGAGACACTGCAATATTAAACCTCTGTAAACCTAAAATGCATTTTTATATGTTTATACTTTAGAATATTGTATCATGTCAGATACTTCATTTTCTATAAAAGTTAAGAATTGCTTTTACTGTAATTCAGTGCTTTCATTCCTTTGACAAAATTCAAGGACCACATTAAGGTGAGGGAGAGCATATCTTACACTGAGACTGATATTAAAATACATCATTAGCTGAACGGATTGCTGACTTTGAAATACTGTGTCATTACACTGAAGTGTTCCGTGTATCACAGTTTCATCAATGCTAGGGTACTGGCTGAGCCAACGTTACAGTTTTGCATTGAATATGTTCTGTTGACATAAAATGCATAAATTATTGGATGCACATTTTCATTTAGTATATCACATGTATTTGTATGTATGTATGTATGGGTGTTATCAATATTCTTAGTTTTCTTCATTTTGTTACAAAAATAGTCATCTAAAATATTTAATCACACAAATTACTTAGTCGATAGGAAGAAAAGAGTAGACTTCTACCATTCCAACAGCATTTTGTCCTTATTTTCTATATTTGAAATACTGATTTGAATAAACATACGATAGAGCACTACTTTGCCTGTAATTTTAATGCTATTTGAAAGTGGGTCCATTTAAAATTGATGGAAGACTTTTCTCCTTAAATTCCTCAAGCCAAAACCTTTGGTGCAGTCCTACATTCCTTTCTTTCTCACACATTCCACCTGCAGTCCATTGCATCTGGGCTGATCTTCTCTGGTCCCTCCATCAGCTTTCACATGCGGTACTTTAATATTCCTGTAACTGGTCTGACTATTACGTGCTCACCACTACTACTACTACTACTACTACTACTACTGCTGCTGCTGCTGCTGCTGCAGGGTGTATTTACATACACCCTTGCCAGGTAGATCTTTTTAAAACTCACAACAGTTCTTGCTGTTCTTTGGCTCTTACATCCCAATTGCTTCCCCTCCAAATCAGAGTAAAATTCAAAGTCTGTAAGATGTCTGCAATACTTAGCATGATCTGAACCCACACAACCTCTCTGCTCTCACCTCTTCCACTTTTCCCCTGAAACACACTGGAAATCTTGCTGTTTCTCAAACATACTGAGGATGATCCTGCCTCAGAGCCTTTGCACTTACTGTTCCCCCTGACTGAAATATTCTCCCTCCAGATCTTTAATGGCTCACTCCTTTTCATTAGTCAGGACTCTGTTTAGCTGTCACCTCCTCAGCAAACCTTTACTCATTCTCTTATCTGAAATACTCACCCCCACAACTGTTGATCGCTTTACCCTGCTTTATTTTTCTTTTTATTGCTTAACCAATTTCTGACATCATCTCATTTATTAGATGAGTCGATGTCTGTTTTCTGCCACTAGACTGTCAGTTCCATGGAAGCAAGGACCTTGTTTATAAAGAGGAAGATGGAGGTTACATTCCCAATCCCTAGAACAGAGCCTGACACATGGTGGACCCTCAATAACATTTGTTGAATAAATGAACAAGTTAATCAACTAATATTAGGGAAGGTATTAGAGCTCTCTGAGCCTCGGTCTTCTCATCAGTAAGATGGGAAGAGATAGTATTCGCAAGAATTTTAATTGCCATCATAGAGAAGTTTGAAACTGACCTTATCTTTATTTCTCCTACCCCCACTTAGGAATATATTTTAAAGCAAGTTGCAACAACGTACATCAAGCTTGGATGGCCAAAAAACAATTTTAATGGATCTCTTGTTCAAGCATCCTACCAGCATGAGTACTGTTTTATTTTCTTATTCTCCTCTTTTCCTCCAGAGCTGTACAATTACATACTATTAGTGCCATTGTGACTTTAGCAGCATGAGACAATCTCTCTTTCATTCTCCATCTTATGTTTCACTTTCCTGGAAGGACTGCTGCTGAGTAGTACAGTTTCCATCACCTGATCCTCAGAACAAAGACATTTCCCTGCTATGTTTCAATTTAAGATCTGCCTTTATTGGTGGTATTGAGATCGAAACCCATGCCCCACTCTGGAATATGGTTTCCAGAGAAGACTATTAATACCTTTAACTTTCACTCTGTCTTTTACTCGGCGGCATAGGGTTTCCAGATCTAAAAACTCTTTTTGTATTAATAATTTACTGATCAGCTATTTATTTAATGAGTTACTCTGACTTTAATTCTTTTCTTTCAATGATATCTAGAGAACTACGTAGAGAAGTTATAATGCTGGCTTGTAGTTTTGGCAACAAACACTGTCACCAACAGGCATCAACGCTTATTTCAGATTGGATTTCCAGCAACAGAAACAGGTTAGTTCAACCAAATTCTGTATTTCTGATATTATTTATTAGTACTTTCAGATTCTCAGCAGATGCATTTTATTTATCAAGTGGAGAAAAACAAAACAAGAAAAAAACACACAGCAAAACTTCGTTTCAGGTTCAAAGGTTACAAGACAACAGCATGAAAGCTATAATACATTTATCTTTGGAATGTTTCATTGAGTTTTAGACTAACTTTCCTAATCTAGGCCTTATTCCTTATATATGTAAGTTGTCACCTTATTTCAAGTTTTGAAAGCTCTGCCATCCCATAAGAACAAAATAATTAAATTTAATACAAATTCTTTAAAGTTCTTTATAAAGGTTGTGGTATTTATTCATAAAACAATTACCAGCATATGTTATAAACAAAATAGCATAACAAATGTTAATATTTAAATCAAAAAGGTTATGAAAAGAGATCTTTACTTTTTCAGTGACCCTTGACAATAACCTTAAACTTGTAATTTATCTTGGAATTTTACAGTAGGGTATTTTAATACATAATATGAAGATAAAGTTATTTAATTGAATTACTTTTGAGAAAAAAAGTCGTATTAAATGTCACTTGTTAGTGAAAAGAATACTGAACATAAAAATAATCAAAGATCATTAGTCTTCTAACCACAGTATTTTAAACCTTCTTAGGTTGCCTTTATATTTCCAACGGGCTTTATGTTCCATTTCTTTTTATACTTTGGACAACAAACATTCATTCCTCTCTAGTTTCTGCCCTCCTTACTTAACTAGAGTCCTTCCTTCTAGGAAGTAAAAGAGCTAGGAGGCAATTTGTACAGATGATGCTATTTTATGTGCTACATGGACTTGTCCCTCCTATGGGTGGGCGGGGATGACCCCATGGACAACAAAGAAAGAGACTTGTTCTGGACAAACATAGAGAACCATAGTCAGTATACTCTGCTTATGAAATGAACTGGTATTTGTCTTGTTACAAGTTGTTTAGGTTTAAATTTTATATTAACTGACTCCAGATCAAAGGATGGCTATTTTGTTCTAAAGGTCTGTAAGGGAAATCTTTTACTGAATTATTTAGTAATTTGTCATAATATCTCACCTTCTATAGCATTTTTCTGCTTGCCCTTTTAAGTTCATCATCTCTGGTCCTAAACTAAGCTAAAAGGGAAGATATTTAATCACTATCATCTGTCAATTGATCCATTATGTATTTGAAGATAATAATTAAATCTTCCATCAGTCTTCTCTAGAACGAAAATGTCCTCATTTTTTAAACTTTCACTAATAATTGTCCTTTTTACCAAGTCATTTGAGAACTATTCTATTAGACCTGAAAATGTTACACAAACTTCCTTCTTAATTTTTAATACCTCCTTTAATTCTACCACATATAATTCGACCATGAAAAAAACATTGATTCAAAATTATTACAGCCAAAGTTTTATTGAGCTACATATGATATACACATATGAGAGAAAAAGATCAAATGTATTATTTAGAAATTATAGTCTCTACTTCACTGCCTTTTGTTTTTGTTTTTTATTTGGTTTTGTTTTATTTTGCTATAAACAGATGCCCTTTCTCAGAGCTGATAATTGCTTTTTAACTCTTTAATGAGTTTATACATGTAAACATATTTCTTACCATTTTATTAAAATTGGGCTTACACCAGTGCTTCAGCATAATTTCACCAGAGAGCATTCAAGCATGATGTCACTGCCTACATTTTAAAAATCTAGCTATTGAGGAACTGCTATTTTTAAAATAATTCCTTTATTTAACCAAATTTTATTGAACAGTTCTCAGTAGCAGGTGGTAGCTGGAAAACAAAGAGGCGGATCTCAAAATTAATAGAAGATACAGCTCTTGAAACAAACAGTTTTATTTTGAAAGAAGAACTAAGCACAAGATAGGGCGTGAACCCAGAGAAGGGAAGGACAACTATCTTGAAAGGATCTCATTCCGCCTCATGAAGGATGGGGAGGAATTTGTTAGAGGACAAGACAGGATTAAACGCGGGGATAGGTGTTTATGAATATGTCAGGTGGGTGGATGGGGATTCCAGACAGAAGAAAGGTACATAGGTTGCTGTTTAATTTATAAGTGCAGTAATTTTTGACTTGCAAACTTGAATAATCCATCAGTTCCATAATTCTCTTATTAATGAAATTTCATGTAAGGCGTTAGCTCATTTTGGTTTTGATAACTCTGCCATTTATTTGTGGTAAAACAATTAAATTTGAGCCAAACACTTTAAGAGTTTTTTGTCATTTCCTACATTAATTTTATATTCTCTGCTTGGCTCTCTTTTATAACTGGGCAGATAAACATGCTCAGTGAATCTAACTCTGTGTTTACTAAGATTTGCTTAATCAACCATATGACATGCCCCAGCATACACAGGTGACCTACTACACAGAGGGCACATGATACCCACTTGGCTACCTACATGTGAAGATCAGTGATTTAATCTGGATTTTTTAGATGACAGCTTAATAATAAAAACAATAATACAATCCTGTAGTTGGTGCTGAGTTTAACTTTCTTAATTTGAGTCAGTGAAGGGAAGAACAAGATTGTTTGTTAAATGTGCATGTAGCAATAGACTAGTCATCTTTGTTTGGTTTTTCGTTGTTTAACTGAAGCTTAAAAGGAGTAATTTGCAAAAATTATCTTTAAAAAGAACACTAGAGGTAATGTAGTGGTATCCTTGTAAAATGTTTTGAGAGATGTATTAATATATTTATTCTAATAAACCTAAAGAACAATGAGTCATAGAAGTATCAAGGATTGCAAATCTTTGGGGCATTGTAGTGCTATGCGCATAATTTTGATACATTGGGGAGATGGGTAAAATTTGTGACATCAGAATCAGGAAAATGGAATGGATGTGAAAGTTGGCACAGGTAGGGATCATGGCACCAAAAAGTGCAATGAATAACTAGAGATGGTAGCAGCAGAGAGAAAAATTCAAGAATTACAGTGGATGATAAATTGAATGAGTCGACATTCTGATCCCTGTTAAAATATTCAAATGCTACAGTGTGTTGAATTGTAATGGTGATGTCATGCATAAAAATGGATTGAACTACATTCAGGTCTTGTTAGGCTGCAATTCGGGGACTAAGTTCAGCGAAATGCCACATTTCAGAAAAGAGACAAATTGCCAAGCATTTGGTGGCGAACAATACAAATCATAAAAAGATCTTGAAAACACCAGTTCTGAGAGGAGTTTGTGAGACCTGAAAATCTCACTCTAAAAAATAAAACAAAACAAAAAGGATACAGAAAAGATGGTAGCATTTTGTATATATAAAAAGCATAATAAAGGGGATAGAAATTATTTTTTTTCACTGGCTGGTGCAAATAAGAAATAATATATCAGGCCTATGTTTTGCTGAGTAAAATATAGGAAGTATATTATTACTGTAGATGACTTATTATTTGAAAATTTCTGTATTAAAACACTATCGAGGTTGTATAGTTAACTGTACAGATATCATAATATGGCATTATGGGGTTTTCTCTAAATTTAACCTGATATTAAATATGTGTCCACAATAATGCATTATTTTTAAAATACTATTAAAGGACACAATTTAAAGCTTTAAACCAATTTGGAGTCAAGATTTAAAGTATTTAATTTAAAGAATTACTCAAGAAATAGTGATATCCATTTCCTAACATATAAATTGAAGACTACTTAAAAACAATACTACAACAAAACAATGCAGCATCTTGTACATAATAAATGTTTATTAAATTGAAAAGAATTAGAAATTCATTTCTAATTTGAATAAAAATTTACAAAGGTTATGCAATTTGCCAAGATTATATAACAATAGATGGTGGAGCTGGGCTTTTACACCCCGCATCCCTGCCCGCTAATCCCATTGCATGTGGTTCTATGGTATATCAAATTATCCTATATCAATAATATACATTCGTTCAAAAGTGGTAAAAAAAAACTTAAACAAAAACCACCCAACAGACCTTGAGTACTCTCTGCAGTGAGTATAGGCAACAGTTTTATGCTCAGGGGCATAAGCAGTGGTTCTTGAACCTGAACATGCATCAGAATCACCGTACGGACTTGTTAATACACAGTTTGTTGGACTCCACCACTAGAATTTCTGATTTAGTAGGTGGAATGAGGCTCAAGAATTTGTATTCATAACGAGTTCCCAGGTAATGCTGATGCCGTTTGTTCAGGGACCACACTTTGGGAACCACTGGTGTAGGGAAAGGTTACTGTTTTCAGAATTGGAGACATTTGTGATCAAACCAAAGCTGTTCCAATAAATAACCTTGGGAAAGTCTCTTTGCTTCCTCATCTGAAAAATTGTCAATCATATTAGCAACCACACAGGTCATGAGAGTTAGGTAAAAGGATACCTATGTAATACTTACCCTCATAGAAAATAATAAAACACTAGTCTTCAGAGTTGCTCTCTACTTGTTTTGATGTCCTCTGTGTAATAGGTGGTGTGAATTTTAAATGGGGACAGTAGGGACAATAACATCTATTGAATGTCTTCAATGCTAGGCCTGCCCTCTATAAGTTTTGAGACTTACAAGGATGTGACCTGTAACAGAAAGCATAAAGCAAAATACTACCCTAGAGATTCTCAGTTAGGAGCAAGAGGAGGTTTGCCCTTTACCCCCTACATTAAGAAATACTGCTCTTCTTGGCCTCCAGGCAAATATTACTTTTTCCTCCTTGCACTTCTTAATCAGTTGCTATTTATGGCACTTGTTCCTTCCTCAGTCATCGCTCATTTTATCTCACAATGGAGACAGCTCCAGATAAACTCTTTTCCTTTGTGTCTGATCCTTGTCTATCAGTCTTTGCTCTTCTTATGTGAGAACATAAAGGTGGAGGGACAAAGGCTCTTTCCAGTATGGTCTGTGTATATCTAGTTCAGAAACTTCATGTTTTCGTTCTTCAAAACGCAAAGACTAACTTATTATGTTTGCAAGTTGTCATCCTATTCTCTCAGTTCTTTACATCA